CTAAACATTTGGACAGATACCTCAAGCTTGGACTTTCCATCCTGTACAGACATTGTTGAAATCCCACAAGCAGTTGATTGTACCTGTTGGGGTCTAGTAAGTTTTTAGTCCTGACCCCAGGCCTCAACATGCTCATCTGTGGATGGAGATGGGAACAACCACTTACATGCAGTCAGGGATTCTGAAAACTGCTGAAAAATTGGCTGCACAGGCAGCACATTGCGAGATGCAGCTAATTGATGCATTGCTGCAGCAAACACCAGCACAGCACGTCTGGCTGTGGCACACGGTGAAGCTGCAGGCACTAAAATAAAAAGAGAACAATCTACTGCCCATTTAAGTGGCAGCTGCTCTGGATGACTGCAGCGCTGCCCAGCAAATTACTGAGCAGGCAGAGGCGCAATTCCCTGGACCACGTGTTAATTACCTGCATCCAGAGGGTGAGCACAGAGAGACCCTGCAGTAATGTGGTGCAGGAGCACAGGCTTTAGGCTGTGGCATAATAAATCTCCCTGCCTGCAGCCTGGCACTGTTTCACCACCAAAGTTATACCAAATTTCAACATCAAGAACTGTATGAGAAAGTAAGCAAAACTGAAATGAGAAAGCATGGTCGTGTCAGAAGTCCAAGTCAAAAAAGGCAGACTAAACCAGACTCTACTTAGTTAACAGTGGGCATAAATAGAATAACAGAGGCCATCTGACAAAAGCACAAAAGCACGGAAAATGCCAAACATTTGAGTGCATCAGATGTTAATGATGATCAAACCTTATACAACAGATTCTGGAGAAGTCAGTGCCTTCATCCAGCATATGTCCATGCTCTGTGTTGAACTGCAGTTGTCTCCTCTGAGATACTCAGCTTAAAATTCTGATGTGATTGTACCAACATTTAGAAGCAGGTAGTTAAGTACCAATGACTGGTTTCTTGTGTCCCTGAAAAATTTGTTCAAGGTCATCACAAGACTGCTTGAGTTATGGTGGCACTTCAGAGACAATGCTCACATATCTTAAAATTTGATCAGGATGTGTGTAATTAGTCAGTATGGCATGTTCTGCAGGAAGCAAATCTGTTTTACAGAAACAGTCATCTCTGAGCAAAGGCACACAGCAGACAGTAGCTGAAGAGAGCTCTGAGCTTTAAAATATGGCTGCTTATTTCACAGCTGAAGTACAAACCCATTTTCTCTCCCAGATGATAACAATTTGGATGGAGATAGTTCACCAACTAACAAGCCTGCAATACCCAGCACATTCATTTTATAATAATTTTATATGCTCACACTGAATCTGATGGAATGTCCTTGTGCATAAAACTGCTTCTGTGTGTATTTGGGGTGGTGGTGGCAACACAGAGTGCTTTCAGACACTGGCTTAACTAATGAGGACCAGTCAACCTTCAGTCAACCCACAATGAAGACAAGGTTCTTTAGTTGTGCCCAAATAGGGACTCAGTAAGATGGACATAATTCTGCTTTTCAGGGCAAGACTCCCTGTGTCTACTTCAATGCGCCACCAAAGAGTCCTGTCTTGACTGAGAGTTTTCCTGGGATAGTTGAAATGCACAAAAACCCCCACAATTTATTTTTTTTTATTTTTTTTTTAAGCTAATCCCTGTATGAAATTATTCAAGGGCTGAAACCAATACTTGAGAAACTCAATACAGGTGCAGAGCAAGAAGACAGTAAATTCAGTGCTGCAGTACAGCCACCAGCTGCAGAAGGGACAGCAGTAACACTCTCAGTGGAAGGGCAATAATGACCACCAGTGGTTTACTAATATAGTTTGAAAACTAGATTTCAGAATGTGTGCAACTGTTTGATCATGCCTGGCAATACCATGGCAGTCTCAAGGGTAAAAACATTGAGACATTTCCTGCCCATCCAGGTCACACCACCTTTCCATTGCAGCACCTTTAACAAGAACATCAGAACCAGGTAAGATTGAGTGTACCGTAAAACTGCTGCCATTTACTGGGAAGATCCCAAACTGGGTGTTAACATGGAATCTTTAGTCTTTCAAGAATCACAGCTTGAAAACCAATGGCAACTAGGAACAAAACCAGCACCTAAAACATTCAAACAGTACATACTGCTCAGTCACACAGATCCCCAGCCAGCACTGCTGTAGCTTCTTTTGGTACAATTGACTTTTTCCTCTTTTATTAAAGGATGCTGATTAAAAACCCAGAGGCATACAGAAACATACACAAGGAGCTGACAAAAACATGAGGTGTTTTGTGCCTGTCACTAGTCAGTCAGCATGCCCATTAATTACTCAAATGCTGCTCCCTTTAATATTTCCACATAGCATGGTATCACTTGATATTGGGGAACTCACCTCCCTTAACTAGACCTGTAGCTCATCCAAGGTTGGGGGATATTCATGAGAGAGATTATAGGATAGCAGAGACCAGCAAGACATCCTTGGCAGCAATGTTGCTCTTGGTCTTCAAGCCAGTTCACCCCCCCTTTGTGCTAAATGTGTCTTGAGAAAAGCCAAGTGACAGCAGAGGGACAGCCCTTTCTTTGACAGAGTTGGCCAGTGACTGTCCCAAGGACCTTCCTCAGTCATACTGCCACCAGGATCTGTCCAATCTCTGAGGTCCTGTTGGTATCCTCTGTCTGACCAGCAGTAAAATAAATCATGGCTTGGGATTTTTATGGGCTCTCTGTCGGCACCCGCAAGGGATCACATGGTTTGAGAGTTTACTACTATCCATAGCAAATTTCCCAGTAAAATTGTCAAGATTTGAAGGGAAAAATCGTATTTTCCAGAGGAGAGGAGAATAGAAGTGCAACACTGATGCCTTTTGCTGAGGTCTGCTTTACTACTTGTGATGAACCCATGCCAGAACAACAGGTCTTCAGAACAGATAAATCCTAGAACATATATGACAAAAGCTTACCTAAGTTAAACATACCCAAGTATTTATATTATGCTCACAGCCAGACCATATGATTTTACAGGCCTTCATGTGATTGAATCACACTTGCTCCTGAAGAGGCTGTTTGGTTTTTAAAGTTTTTGGTTCATGTTTTTGCCTGAAAGTTGCTCCCATGAAAACATGTACTCCAGAAGATGATCCCATGGTGTCAGGTCACCTTCAGGGAACTCTTTCCATTTCCCCCTTATCCTATAAGCTTGTGAGATTAACCTTTCACGTTTCAAAGGATAACACTGCTCCACCAAGAACTGGCTCTTGCAGGAAGCCTGTGCTCACTGGAGAGCAATGCAGACACAGAGAATCACAGAATTGTTTAGCTTGGAAAAGAGCTCTAAAATCATCATCAGCTGATGTTAGTGACTGCATATGGGCTGATCCTAGAACACCCAAACTGCCTTGCTTGGCCTTGCAAAGCCAGACATGATGTCCTGTGGCTGCAGTGAAAAAAGCTCAATGTCCACTTTTCTCCTTGTTTTCCCCAGATTTCTATGCCCTCAAAACTGATTGATTAGACTCAAAGAACTGAACGATTTGGGGAGTAGAAAAGGGGAACCTTTTCATTAATTAATAAATTAAAAGGGAAATATTGTGACCTCCTTCACCACAGATGTTCTCCTGTTTTCCCAAGAGACTCAGTTCTTTCATACAGCACACAGGTTATGGTATTCTCTCCACAGGCAATTTCATCAGTTAAGATCCACATTATCCGCTGACCTGTGTGACAACATCAATCAGGCCCTGTCTTGGAACAAGTACTGCTCAGTGCAGTTCAAGGATGTCCTCCTCTTCCTCCTCATGTCATCACTGAGAATTCTGAAAAGGTGAAGGATGAAGGAGACAGAGAAACATCAGATGGGCTAGGCTGTATTTATGGATCTTAGTAGATGATGTTTTAAAAATAACCATATGGGTTTTTCTGGTGCCTAAATGGCATCCATTTTTTGCCTTGTAGAAAGTCTAGCATATTGTTTTCATAATCAAGTTATTTGGATAACACAGCAGCGATTTAGATTAGGATTTGTTTACACAACTAAATATGTTGAGTAATGAAATTAAAATGAGCTTACTGCCTCTGTCACATCTGCAATAGTAACTGGCTTCTCATGGTTGAGTACAAGTCTGCTGCACAGATGCTTCTTGATAAGGTATAAATCAGTGTTAGATGCTGTTTATTGCAGCATTTTTACCGCCTTCTTCCCTGAAGAAGGGAATGTTGCCTGTACAGCAACCAGATGTGACCTGCAAGACTGTATGAAATACCATCACAAACCAAAATGGGTCCCATATTCCGTATCAGCATCTGCAATGGCTCATCAAGTATTTATCAGATCATTTGAACATTTCTGCAGGCCCTAGCATCATACCACCACCAGAATTTACTTATTGTAACCTGCAATGAAAAAGACAAGCATCCTGTAAAGCAACTGGAGCCTCAAACAGCAGAAGATCCCATTTTGGCTTGGTTTCCTGCCTTAAAGGTCAAATTTCTGAGCAGTAACTGCTGCTAGAAAGCAAGATGCTGTGAGAGATCAAGGCAGCTGCTTTTCAGGACATTGTAGGGAAGATATTGATAGGTGATATCAATACTTTGATGGTGTCAGGGGAGGAGACTTATCTTGCCCAGGTGTCTATGCAAAGAGAAGTGAGACAAGGGAGCTTTGTTCCTGGTGAAGGCAGCACAGCTTGGAGCACCTCACTAAGCTCTGCTCAGCTCTCAGGGAGAAAGAGGATCTAACAGGAAAAACTTGCCAATGACCCAGCATTTGTAGACAGCCAGGCCTGGCCCAAGCCACACTGGCTCCTTCTCTGCAGCTGATGAAATCAACACCCATGGGCTCTGAATGTAAGAGAGCCAAACTTCACAAGCAGTACTTCTTGGAAGGTTTCTTAAAGCAAAATCTGACATCTCTTATTTAAAAATAAAATAAATAAAAAAAGCTGGAGATGGGGTTGGGGTGGAGTGGGGTGGGATGGGTTTTTCTTCCCTGAACTAATCTGTGTCTCTTGATTTGCTTCACTTGTTACATGGACAGAAGATCCTGTCAACACAGAAATAATGCCAAGTATTTAGAGTTTAATGGAACCCAGGGACCAATTAACAACACAAAAAACCACCAGGCAGTGTAACAGGAGGGAAATCTTACAATCTTACATTACTGCTGTTCCCCCATTTCTTAAAATAAAGCACCAGTGCTTCATCAATGATTTCTCAGTAGTAATGTTTATTACCTGCCAGTTTTATCACTGCCCATTTATCAATCCCTTTTTGTGTTCAGTCAAAAAACCACCCTCTCTACCTGTGACCTAAAACCACCCCCAAAAAATGAAGAAAAAAATAACTAAAAAAAAAAAAAAAGAAAAAAAGAAAAAAAAGAAAAAAAGAAAGAAAAAAGCAACTGTCCTTGGGGCTCCAGAGCAGCATTGCTAGAACCTGCCCTCCACCCCAAGCTCCCGAACTGCTGACTCCTCAATAGCTTGATGGATGCGATGCACCTCGTCCTGCGTTAGCGTCCTCTCCGGGTGCCGGTAAACGATACGGTAGCAGTGGCTGACCTTCTTTGTCCTATAAAACACAAACCAAAAGAGGACTCATAAATACACGTGCCTGCAAATGTAAATACATGAGGCTGAACACTTACCCTCTGGATCATTTTTATTTGCGGTCTAATTTTGCTCCTGTTTCTTGAAAATCACCTTAATGCTAAGATACACAGCTCAGAGAGGCGGGACTGAGCTGAATTTTAATTTTGGCAGAGGACTTTGCTGAAGTCCACCTTATACCTCAACTTGTACCATGATGTGGTAGCTTCTTAACAAACAACCCCAGGAGGAGGACCTCTTACCCTGTGCTATGGAAAGTAAGAGACAAAGGAGAACAGGGAACAGGAATAGAGAAAAGGGAATGATGGGGAAAAGAGAAGTATTTAAGAGTTGCTGGCTAGGCAAAGACAAGTTAATGAAAAATCAGGACAAACCATTCAGTAAGAGTGAATAAAATCTTGCTCTCCATCAAAAGCAGGCAGGAGCACCTAGTTTTGCAAGGGCATCTCTGTAATTGCAGTGTCTGTGTTACTGAATTTAAATGGCAGTTTTGGCATCCTTTTTAGTTTCAAATGGAGCCCACACAGCTTCTTCTTTCAAAGGTGAACACTCACTTCAATGAAAGAGAGAAAATCTGAGGGGAAAAATAATGGGAAACCAGACAGTATCAGGCAGAAGAAGCTTCCAGACTGCAGAACTCTGCATTTAATGGCACACAAAGGCAGTCAGCAAGCTTTGGATCATCTCTCTCCTGAAAATTGCTTCATGTTAGAACCACATTTATGCTTTTGACTATTTGATTAAATCTAAGGTTAGATGTGTTCATCCACAAAGACAACTCTCAAGATACTCACTTCAACCTCAAATCCTACTAGAAACAGGCACAGGCAATTTTTACCTCAGAACTGTTGTTTGATATCAATTTTGTCCCACCCAACAAAGGTGGGAAGCTTGCCCTGCTCCCACCGGAAGTTTACAACAAAAAAAGCTAATTCTAATTAAAGCATTCCTTCTTTTTTTGTGTGCTCTGAAGATAAAGCAAGTTAAATCTGGCTAGGACTGGAAAGGGCAAACTGCATTTCATAAAGTGTTAAGCTGACTGCAGTTAACTGCTAAAAGGCAGCCAAGAGCTTTCCCTGTGCGCAGGTTAAATGCTGCAGAAAAGTGATTTTTGAGAAAAGAGGGGGAAGTGTAACTGTGGGGAAGGTCTTGCTCTGCTGTGCTCCACCTCTTCAAAGCAGCCAAGAGGACAAACCTGGGGGAAGCAAGTAAATGGAGTAACAAGGATTTGGTCAGATGTTACATTGCCAGTGAGAAATTTGAGTAAGAGAGATGGATAATGCATTGGAGCTCAACAGAAGTTATTTTCTAAACCAGGCTGTCAAATATCCTTAAAGCCAGTAGTATGTCAGTTTTTAAAGGTGCTACAGGAATACACCTGATCAAAAACATTTGAAAATTGCTTTGGCTGAAAATTTATTTGGAAGGTGTACAGTCACAGGTTTAATCTTGAAGTTTTGCAAATATTGGGAATATATCCCATGATAACGAAAATTCATTATCATTATTTAATGTGATATAAACACAAGTTTGCTTAATATAGGTGTGAGCTGTGGTAGGAGTAGCTACAGCACTGCTTCTTCACTGGCCTTTGTTAAATGAAAGTGACAATTACTCCTGACTTAGGTGTTTCTGTGTCCCCCTCCCTCCATGGCAGAGAGTGGTACATTTCATACCAAATTATATATGGCAGACTAGGACAAATTAGTTTCTTGTGAATGTTGTGGAAAAACAGTAGTTTTAGGAGGTATTTAAATCAGGAAAGGGTAGAGGTTGTAGAGGAGAGCACTGGACTAGAGTTCTGCTAGCTGCAGCTGAAGTTAAGCACTGGTGTGAGAGAATATGAGGATTGCATTAAATGTAATTAATCTAGAGTTAATTATAGGCAAAAAATGAACCTGTACTAATATACATAATGCCACATAACATGGATGGTACATTGTATGCTACATTTTTCTCTCACATTTTAGCTAGGTTTATTTGCATCTCTGTTACTAATTAGAAAGACATAATAAAGCAGTTTAAAGCTATTTCAATAAAAGACACACTGCAAGTTTCAAAACCTTAAGCATTTTGTTTCAAGAGTACTATTACTCACTTTTCAAGGGATATTTGGAAGAACACTTCTCATCTCTTCCCTCCCCTAATATTTCCCGTGCTCCCAAATAAAGTACTAAGAAACTGTGATTAATCCCTGCCATCAGCTGCAACTGGAAACAATTATTGTCAGCAAATAATACCTTTGCTCATTCAGTTTCTCGCTTCCCTTTTGTTCTGCAGAGCCACAGAGTGTTTGCCTACCTTAGAGACAGCTCTGCTTATGCATAATGAAGTCTCTGCTGCATGTCATGCTGCAGCCTGATGATACAGAAGCAGTGGCTCTCTATCCTGAGAAAAAAAAAATTTGAGGCCAAAACCTGCAACAGCAGCTTCATAGGGTAAAAAAAAAAAAAAAAAGAAAGTAGAAGCTTAACAGTGAGCACACCAGGCTTTATTTACCTAAAGTGTACCGCCAGACAAGTCCGTGTGGTTGCAGTCACGCGGACTCCTCTCCCATTAGGCTTCAGCTGATCTTAGTGTCACAAGTCTCCTCTGCACCAGCCTGCAGCTCTCAGGTAATGAAGCACAGTGAATACAGTGAAGCACCACTCAAAGGGAGAAGGAAGACAGGGATTTATTCTGATGCCACAGGAGGAAACAGGACTGTGGACAAACACTGGAGCGAAATAATGTCTAATGCTCCCTCGTATGATTTTTGGAGGAAAGAGTTTTGCCTCATGATTTTCAGGAATTGGCACTCAGCTGCCTTCATGTGCTAGGGAGCTGGTCCCTGCCAGGTCAGAGTCACTGTGTGGGGTCCATCTGAAGGTCAGTATATATGTTTGGGTTTGTGTATGTTTCAGCCTGATACCTAAGCACAACAGAAATGAAGGGGTCTTAGTCCGCCACTAGCATAATAAAATCAATATGAAAGCAACCTCACCCTGGTACCTAGGCTAGAATGAAAGGGTGTGTTTCACAAAACAGAATTAATACATGTGTGTTAGCTTTCCCTGCATGGAAAACCACTGGAGGATGCTTTAAATGCAACTTGGCTGGAAAGCTAATCCCAGAAGCTACCAACAGCAAAACGCTTCAGCGTTCTAGGGAACCTGTCTCAGGCATTACATAAGACCAATCACAGGGTCATTTGGTAACCAAAATGTTGCATTAATAATAAATGCTTGGCATTGGAACTTATCTCTTCCACATGCAATACCATAACAAGAATGAAAATTTCTCCATCCTGTACTGAAGAGGGAGATAAAAGGGGCAGAACCGAGTGGGAAACCCTTTACCTTTTAACTGTGTTCTACTTTCCATCTGCCTTAAAGCACAGAAGCACAGAGAGATCTGTATGGAGGTTACCCCTGCTCTTAAGTGGTGAGGACAACACAGAACCAGACATTTTTCTAGAGAGCTGGATTTACTTTGAGGAACAGAAAACTAGAGATGACAATCAGGCACAGCATGAAAGAGCAAAAGAGTACCATCCCTTTTGTATCTCAAGCAGTTCACTAAGCAGTACAATTCACCATGGTATCTATACTTCACCTTTTCCTACAGAATGCTATTTAAAATAAAAGATCTACATACATGGTAGTGTGGAAATATTTGAAATTTTTTTCTCTCTGTTAAGTGAGTCACAAGGTTCCTTGAGGGTATCCCTGCCATGGAAGTGTGCATCCTATATGCCCTCAAAAGATTCATCATGTAATTCCCTTACATAAACCTTCACACAGTACTCAGGGGCTGCTACACCCTTCACAGAGACCATATACATGGAGTGACCTCAGAGAAGAGGAGGCTCATTTTGTTTGCAACAATGTCCCAAAAGCTGTGATGATGGGAAGAAATGAATAAACTATTTCATGTCACCAGCATCCTAATTGACAAAGCCATACAGAAAGCACAGCTTTGGTTTTGCTTTGTGGCTCCAGCAGTTCCACAACGGCTCACATTTTAAGTGGAAATGGGAAAGAATATTAAACTGCAAGAAGAAGAAGAAGATGTAATTACCTGTTCTTTTTTGTTTCATGCTTTCAAACCACATCCATCTCTATGATAGTAGGCACAACTGCTAAATATCCTATCATAAATTTTAAATTGACAAATAGCACTCTTTGCTAGAAACCACATCATGGAAAATGGCAAAAGGCTTGTGCTGTGTACCTTCTCATCAGTGGCAAGTATTTCAATTACCATGGTGATATGCACATAGAATACAGCAGAAATTCTCTGAACAAAGGTCTTTCCAAAATATGCCTTCTCATCTGTCCTTTCAAATGCTAATACTTCATCTCTCTGGAAGAGTACATTGTACACACAGCATATTCTTAAAAAGGGACATGTTTTTGTTTAAGGTGATTTTGATGCCACTGAAAGGCATTAGATTGCCTCCAGACGAAAGAACCCACAGAAATGTGTTCAGCTTCAAAAAGAGTTCAGGCCAAGATATGCATGTTTAGAGTGTCAACTTTATTGGATTTTTTGGTAGATCACTTCAAAAGAGATGCGTGCTCACTGACCGATGATTGGACTGAAATATTGTTCTTCTTTTCCACAAAACTGAGACAGTAATGGACTTTTTGCTCTTTTCTAATTGGACTTGGTGAAATCTGTATCTGAATACCAACCTGATACCTGCTTGACCTTTTCATTCTTTCTTTAGTATTAATTCCATTTTAAGCTCCTCTCTTCATGTAGAAAAAAAAAAAAAAGTCAAAATTCTGTTAATAGCCAGATTATTGAGAGATAAAGAACACAGTATGGGATACAATGGCAAAGGACATAAATATCACCTCCTAGTTAAGACAGTGAAAAGTGGATGAAAAATGAAAGCACTTTCAGCTTCTCAGTCACTGGACACTATTAGATAGCCATAAGTACAATCTAATTCATTGTCCAGTATTGAAAAACATT